GCTGGCGAACGAGTGTGCTGCATACTCCCTTAAAAAAACTGTTTCGGATGGGAAGCATTCGGACGCCTTTAGACGACATCCGCATAGGGGTTGTTTTGACGTGTCGGAAGTGGAACTGTGTTAGCTCTGTCAAATCCACAAGTGGCTCCTTATACCTAAAGTGGACATTGCCATTGGCTGCACAGAGTCGCATTAACAGAAATCCCATGAAACATTGTTTACAAGTTCGAACACTGGAATGTGAGATGTAATCTACACCTCCATTAGGATGATAGAAATCCTCATTATTTTTGTTGAATGATTTTTCAATTTGAGTGTAGGTATTTCTATATAGCCTCATAGAAGCGGGAAGTAGGGGTGCTGAGGGTGCTGTAGCACCCCCTGATAAATCGAAATTAAATAAATAATAATAATTGTATTACTCCTGTATGAGCTGAAACATTTGCATAATATTGCATAAACCTGAAGTAAAAAGTGACTTAAATAAAAATAAAATATTTAACATACTCTCTGGCAAGAAGACTTAACATTAATCTATGGTAAACTCAGGAAAACTGTGAGATTCTCCCCTAATTTAGGATTTCTCACATCCAGGAGAATTATATGTTTAAATGTTTAAATGGATTGGGCCTGAAAGCCTCCCTGGTTGTCAAGGAAACTAATTTGTCAACGAGCCAGAGAAAGAGAGAAGTGGTTGTGGTGCTGGAGCAAAGAGCAGAGTCAATTTTGGAGATAGGTTTTTCTCTCCCCGTGTCTGGAAATCACAATCAGGTGGGAGGACTCCGGCTTCCAGAAGGCTTTGTCCTGCAGGAAAAATGCTCAACACCCCATGAGCATCATCAGCCTGTGGGAGCAAAGAGCACAGTGATACTGATTACACACTTCAAGTTTGAAGTTTGATTAAATGTTGAAATTTTGCAGAATCTTGCAATCATAATAATAGTCTGGTAGCAGCAGTTGTGATGTGTGTGTTGCATGAGTGTGTGAGTGTGTTTGTGTGTGTGTGTATGTGTGGGTGTGTGCGTGAGTGAGTGCATGTGTGCTAAGGTGCAGAGAATCAGATCAGGTATTTAGTGTTTAGCAGTCTTTTAGATAGAAACTGTCTCTGAGCCTGTTGGTATCAGACCTCATGCTTCAATACCGTCTGCCCGACGGTAAGGGAGTGAACACCTCGTGGCTGGGGTGTGTGGGGCCTTTGATAATGCTACGGGCTTTGCTCAGGCACTGAGTAGATGTTCTGGATGGGTGGTTGCACGGTCCCAGTGATGTACTGGGCCATCTTCACCACCCTCTGGAGGGCCTTGCAGTTGTTGACGGAGCAATTCCCGTACCAGGCCGTGATGCAATCGGTCAGGACGCTGTCGATGGTGCAGCGGTAGAATTTTGAGATTACTTCAGCCGCCTTAGGAAGTAGAGAAGCTGTTGTGCCCTCTTGACAAGAGTGGTGGTGTTGTTGGTCCATGACAAGTACTCTGTGATGTGGATGCCGAGGAACTTAAAACTGCTGACTCTCTCTACTGCAGTCCCGTTGATGTGGATTGGGGCATGTTCCCTCCTCCGCTTCGTGAGGTCAACAATCAGCTCCTTTGTTTTGCTGATGTTGAGGGAGAGGTTGTTGTCCTGGGCCTGATACTACAATGCCAGTTCACTTACCTCTTCCCTATAGGCTGACTCGTCATTGTTGGTAATCCCCCTGAGGATACACCCCTGGGGGGCCCCTGTGTTAAGAGTCAGTTTGGAGAAGGTGTGGTTGCCAATCCTCACAGCCTGTGGTCTGCCTGTGAGGTAATCCAGCATCCAGCTGCAGAGGGTGGCGTCCAGACCCAGATGTCTGAGAAGATGCCCGCCAGCTGGTCAGCACACACTCTGAGGACGCGGCCAGGGATTCCATCAGGGTCGGCGGCTTTGTGAGTATTCACTCTTTTGAGAGTTTTCCTCAAGTCAGCCTCGGAGAGCGAAAGCACCTGGTCGTCCGGAGCAGCGAGTCTTCCTGGATGGCTCGGTACTGTCTGCCTCAAATCGAGCATAGAATGTGTTAAGCTCATCTGGGAGGGAGGCTTCGGTGGGCACCACACAGCTGGATTTGCCTTTGTAGTCTGTGATAGTCTGTAGTCCTTGCCACATGCATTGTGTGTCTGAGTTGTTGAACATCAATTCAAGTTTGAGTCTGTATTGAGTCTTTTTGCGTGCCTAATGGATTTGCAGAGCTCGTATCTGCTTGTCTTGTACGCGTCGCACGCCACCGAGTCATCGGGGTTCCTTCTGCTGACATTGAATGCTTCATTATGGGCTCTCAGCATGGTATGGATATCTCAGTTCATCCAGGGTTTTTTGTTGGAGTATGTCCGGATTGTAATTGTGGGTACAACATCATCAACACATTTCCTACTGAAACCTGTGACTGACAATGCATATTCCTCAATGTTGATGTATGAGTCCTGGCTTGATGAATCTTTGAACATATTCCAATCAGTATTCTCAAAACAATCCTGCAGCATTGTCTGCCTCCTCTGTCCAGCGCATCACTATTCTCTGTATTGGTGGCTCCCTTTTGAGTTGCTGCTTGTAGGCAGTGAGTAGGAACAGAGAGACGTGATCTGATTGGCCGATGTGGGGGTGGGGGATGGCTTTGTACACGTCATGGATGTTTGTATGTACATGATCCAACATGTTGCTTCCTCTCGTGGGGCAGGATAAATGTTGGTGATATTTTGGAAAAATTTGTTTTAAATGTGCTTGGTTAAAGTCACCTGCGACAATAAAGACTGCTTCTGGGTGAGAGGATTCTTGCTGGCTAATGTTATTGTACAATTCTCTGAGAGCCACCTTGGTGTTTGCTTGTGGTGGTATGTACACAGCTGTGATAACGTGAATTCCCTCAGCAAATAGTGGGGTCGTCATTTTAGCATCAGAAACTCCAGGTCAAGTGAACAGGAGTTCCAGATGTTTTCAACTTTGGTACACCAGGAATTGTTGATGAGGAAACATACCCCTCCCCCCTACTCTTACCTGAAGCCGCCGTTTGATCCATACGGAAAATGGAAAAGCCATCTGGTTAAATAGAAGAGTCTAGTGTATTGTCTGTAAACCATGTCTTTGTAAAAACAAAGACACAGCATTCCCTGATGTCCCTCTGGGATTGAAGCCTTGCCCTGAGTTAAAAAAGTGTATTTTCCAGCGATTGGACATTAGATATCAGAATACTAGGAAGAGGTGGCCGTGTAGCCCGTCTTTTCATCCTAGCTTGGAGTCCCCCTTTCCTTCCTCTTCTTCGTCGCCGGCATTGCCTTCGGTCATCTTGGTCAGCAGCAACAGGTAAAACCACTGTGCGGGGAACAAAGGAGTGAATGTAGTATCCCAGATCTGGGAGGCTGAGAGAGAAGTGTGTAGCTTCCCATTCATGACCCAGAAGTGTTTGTCAGTCGTAGGAAATTATTGCACGAACATTCTGAGCAAACAAATAAATAATTAACCAAGATTGCTATAAAAAAGCAAAGTCGAGCAGGAACCGGCAAGACCAGGAACCGCCATCTCTCTCTCACTTTAAAGCAGCTGATTCAGACAGCACATTTCACAGGTTTGCCACTTTGAACAATACTGTGACTGGATATTTCTGTTGTGCTACTGGCTATGATTACACTTATGGTTAAAAGAATCAAATAACAATACAAAACAAATAGTATAACATGTTAGAAATATTGGCATTATGATATGTGACAACAAGTGTGAGCCTTGGGCAGACTTGATTCAATTAAAAGGACCATTTAGAAATAGATAAGCTTTGAGTATGTAGACATGTATATATGATTCCAGAGCCAAAGCACACTACTTCTCAGCTCATATAATTCTCCTCAGGATTAATGAGGCCAACCATCCTCTAACGCAGAGATAATAAGCCCACATTAATTCACTGTGTGCGCACCAGCACCGCTATAATCATGCAATTTAGTTAAATCAATAAAATTGATGTTTGATATGTTCTCCTTCCAGAAACTATTAAAAATAAACACTTTCTTCTGAAGTTCTCTAGCTCTAGTGAATAGTAACCAAAGCACTTGAAATGTAATCGATATCATTCTGCGGATTCTCAGAGAAAAAGCCAACACATGGAAATGCCACTGACTGCAATATCAATTTTAACTGGGCATAGCATACACTGGGGTTTTGAACTTGGCATACTTCTCTCTGCAAACAAATTGATGTTTTATTATTTCAGAGAGGGGGAAAGGACTAGATTAATAAAACTTGCATCATTTTGGTGAGAAATGTTTATTTCTGTATCCATCAACAGGTTGGTACCCAGACAGATGAAGGTGTATTTGATATATCAGATATATCAGCACTAGAACAAAGATTACTGCATTGCTTTATGTGCTTATAAACATCACACGGTCGGTACGAATATCGATTCAAAACAAGACCACAACCAGAATTGTTATTTCAAGACATGTCAAATATGCAGTATGCAGCAAACAGGATAGTATTTCAATTTCCCCCCCAAAATGTAACAATCTGTATAAAAATGAAAAAATTAACAATGTATTCAAGTCTGAGTGACATTTATGATTGGGGCGTCTCCAAAGCACAGGTATAGGCCCACGTAGACAGCAAGTGCATCCATAATCAATACACCTTTATGTCTCCCAGTCATTTTTATCAACTCCTCTTAGGATAGAACATTCTAGAAGTGGCAATATTGGGAAAATAGCATGTAAACTCAACATTTTTAATAATCTGTATTTAAAAGACATAACATAATAATGTACTGGTTGCAAAAACTTTTAAATTAATGTAGCTACATTTAGAGCAGCACATTTTATAAGATTAAGCCAATTAATTTAGTAGGAAACAGTGTTTCCAAAACACTTACTTTAAAAGCAAAAGAAGACATTATATTGAAATAAAGTGCAATTCAATTTAGCTTTATGCCATATAATTGGGGACAATACTAAAAAGTACAATTTGTCACATACTGTAGCAAAGTGGAAATACAAAAGTCACAGTTTTGTCATTGGTATGTGCAGATTGTTCCAAGGCCCCATCCATAGTTCCTCCTCATCGGACTGTGTGCGATCGCTCTGAGATTCTAAAGGTTCTCTCACGTCCTCATTATCCACTGGTGACTCCTGCTCCTCAGCGTTCCGCGTTCTCTCGCTACTGGCCTTGGCGATGTTGGACTTGGATGCTATGCTCTCTGGGCCCGTGGTGCTGGAGGCCAGGGAGCCGCTGGAGGGCTGGGTGTTGAGGGTCTTGTCAACTGAGGACGTGGTCGCCACGGGGCTGTTGAGGGGCAGTCTCTCCTCTTGAGTCACAGCCAGTTTGTCCAGTTTCTTAAAGTGCTTGCCCAGCCGCACTGGGGAGTTGACCTTGATGTTGTTTGAGTGGGCAGCCCGGCGGGTGCGTATGACTGAGCCATTCTGCGCCAGGTACACGCTGCCATTGATGTTGCTGTGGTTGGTCAGGTTAGACAGACGGTTTCTTTGGGGCTCCGGAGCGCTGTCCTCCCCCGTCGAACTGGTCTCATACTCCCTGTCCACCACCAGCTTAATCCGCTTCTTCCTCCCGTACTGAACAACACAAACAAACAAATAAACAGAAGACAGATATATGAGAGACATGAAGCCTAATGTCACGACATCATTAGAGATGGGTTCACACTCAGTGCACTGCACATCCATTTGACAGGCAAAGAGATGTCAGCAGCAAACGCAATGTCACACTGTCATGCCGGAGAAGGAGCTGTTGAAGGAAATGATTATGTCTTCTGATGTGAATTAACCGCAATCTGTTATGCTTCTTGACACAGACAGATGAGAAGCAATCATCAACCATTTACTACAGAACCGTAAAAGCTTTAGAAGGAAGAATAAGATGATCACACCAAAGGACAATGCTTTCACTATTCATGAAAGCAATGTAGAAAAAGCAGCAGCAGCGGCAGCTGTGGAGATAGGACTAAAAAGAGAACAGAGCAAGACAGGGCATGCATTTTAGACTCTCTGTAATTTAAAAGCTTGCTAAAATGGCTTATATTAGAATAATACATTCCACTCAGATAATTGCACACGCAATCCAAGGCATTCAGAGATCTTACTTAATGGGATCGGAATTCAATTTAAGATGTTACGGCTTCATCTGCATCTGAATCGGCTGGGTTGTCATCTTCTGATTCCCTTTCTTCCTCCTCCTCCTCCTCCTCCTCCTCTTCCTCTTTGCTCGGCTTCAAGCTGTTTCCATAAATACCGCTGGACGGTCTCTTCATCGTGGCTTCCTCCTCACCATCCTCAGTGATAGGGGAAAGGTCATCTGAGGTGTCAATCATGCTACCGCTGACCTCTGTAGAGTAGGAAGTGGCGGTCGATCCTCGTCGCTTTCCTGTTGAGGCCGTTGTCCGACTCCCACTGGACCTCCTGGACGATGACCCTTCACTATGCTCCTCTGGTGACTCTCTGCTCTCAGCCTCCACTTCCTCCTCCCCCGAGGACTCCTCCTCTTCCTCGCTCTCCTCGTCGATGGTGTCCTCGGACTCTAGAGTGTGGGAGGAGGACCTGGATCTAGCTCTTCTTGTCCTGGTAGATCTAGAGCTCCTGGAGCTTGGGTCAGAGACACTTCCACTGCTGTCAGAGGATGCTCTCCTACGGGCTGTGCTACTGCGGCTCTGTGACCTGTCTGTGCCACTACCACTGTCTCTGTCACTGCTCTGGCTGGTGACCACAGAGGATCTCCTATTGGATGGTGGCCTGCGTGAGGACTTCTCAGTCCCTGGCGCTGTGTCCTCAGTTTCTGCAGATGTCACACTCCTCTTGTTGTCCTCAGTCTCTGATCCTGATCCTTTATCTGTATCTTTCTCCTCAGAATCCCCAGCCTCTCTCTCTGTGTCTGAGTCTCTCTCTGTCTGGGACTCCTTCTCTGTGTCTAAGTCCCCCTCTGAGTCTCGCTCTGACCTCCTCTCCTCCTCAGAATCTCCCTGGCTCTCCCCCTGCTCCTCGTCTGAATCTACAGCCCTATCATGGTCCTCTCCAACTAAGTCTCTTCCAGAGTAGCCCGTGATACCCAGTGTGGAGGATGAAGCAGCACTGCTCTTACTCCTCCTGTCGGAGTAGGCCTCCCCTAGGGCATCTTTACTAATGCTTTCTGCCTCAGAGCTGCTACCCTCCTCTTGCTCACTACTGTCCCAAGCCAGGGAGGCCTGCCACCTCCTCCTCTCCTCCTTCTTTGAGTTACTGGAGCCTTGGGACCCAGACCCAGACATCCTCTGCTCAGCTACAGAGCTCACAGTGAGGATTTCACTAGGGAATATCCTCCGCTCTTGAAGCCTGCTGGAGATGTTTATCCGGCTCAGCGCCTTCCCCAACTGCTGTTTCACAGAGGGCTTGGCATCGTCCGAAGCCTGGAAGTAGCTGCCATCTATGACCATGCCACTGTCCATGCTCACCATGCTGCCGGAGCGGTGGGCCTTAGTTAGTGTCAGGAAGTCCCCACCATCTCCTCCGTCCCTCCGATCCTTGGAGGAGAACTTCATGGGGAATATCCTGGCTTTGTTCCATGGGGTGTGGAGTGAGGGGGGTTCACCAGGTTCCTTGCTAACCGAGACAAGGAACTTGCTGAGTTTCATGACTGCCTTTAGTTTCTGAATGGCTGTGGAGGAGTGGTGGGGCTTGGAGTCTGCTGCAGCAGCAGTGCCCTCTTCTGGTGGTGGCTGGTCCTGCTGGTCTCCAAAGGCCTGTCTGGGGGGGCCAATGGGGGGGCCGTGAAGGGGTCCTTTACCTTGCATAGGGGGCCTCCTCCCACCACGCATGGCCACCTGTTACAGTCACATCCGCCCAAGCTACCATTAAAGCCACTGTTAACCATTACTGACCCATTCAATAGGCAGTGTTTCCTCCAGGGACATTTATTTAGTGTAATTTTCATTGAATTCAAAGTTGCATCATTTTCTATCATACATGTAGCTATTGAACAATGTAGCAATTGTAGATAAAATCAGCTACCTCTCCCTCTGACTCCTGCGGACTGTAGTAATAGCTCCCATCGTCGTCCACGATCACCTCTCCATACTCATCATACAGGCCTGTGGGAGATATCAACTTCCTGCGACTGCCATACTGAGGCAGTTCATACCTGGAGGGGAGACGGAACAGGTTAGCTACATACTGTACTGACACACACAGACAACACACACTCGCACACACACTAGCAGCCATCACAGCATCTATTCAACCTCTATCAATACACATTTCTCAGTAAAATTCTGTCATTTGTTTTTCAGAAGCGAGTATAAAACAGAATATGTGAATAGGCCTGGGTCCCCAGTGCCTCCTAACTGTGGATGAGAGAAGAGAGAGAGAGAGAGGAGAGAGAGAGAGAGAGAGAGAGAGATGAGAGAAGAAGAGAGATAGAGAGAGAGAGTAGCGATCGAATCGAGAGAACTCTATACTATCCTCGATCTAACTCTTCTGTCTCGCTACTCCCTCTATCTCTCCTCTCCTACGCTCATCCTCTATCTATTCTTTATTATCAGCGATTCTTTATTTAGGTTAAGGCGTCCTTATGGGAATTTACAGTCATTACCCCAAGGCAGGCTGTTTCTTTCTTTCTGTGTCTTTGTTCAGCTTGTCTTTGGTGCCAGAGGGGGGCAGACAAGGCGTACAATAAGATCCAGGGCCCACTCACTACAGAGCATAGAGGTAAGGTCACTATGCACCCAGATTAAAGGCTTTTAGTGCTCCCAGGGAGAAACCGTCTGTTAAAATAGAAACAGACCGTCAGCTTAACAGGGCTCACTGTGACATCACTGGATGGACACAGGGAAGCACTTTGACTTGGTTACTTGTGGTGACCTTTAACCTACAGTACACGGTGTCAGTAATGGCTAAATAGCTCAAGCGTCCAGCCAGAAGACTATTACCCCACATCTCAACCCCACGTGAGCCGAACTCTAATTTTATTCATGGCGGTCGGTGTGAAGGGAAACATTAGCATTTTGAGAGATAGGCTACATAGCAGAGAGAAAAATAACACCCGGTATGGCTGAAATGAGAGCCTGAACGTTCTAATTAAAAGTTGAAAAGCTGCGTAGAGAGAGAGGCGAGAGAGACGAAAGCGACTCAGAGGTAGTGAAAGGTAAATGTACTGTATCTGCTGCTACAGCGTCTGGAGATCCGTATCTTTCATCCTCTAACTTGGGTGCTGGAGGGAGAAAGTCTTAAGAGCCTAATTCCATGCACAATATTCAATCTAAATCTATGCTCCTTTTTGCTCTGTTATAAGATACCATATGGACGATGCTCATTGTAACAGGTTAAGTGAGTGATTAGACTCACTAATTATGGAATTCATCGCAGGTGACAACAAACTATAATATTAACTATTTCATCTGAAGCTATCATTATGTATTCCGACCTGTATGCTTCACTTCAAGGCTGTTCGAAAACTAATTCTGATGTTTCAGTGGGAGGGGAGGCAGTCTGGAGGCCTGTCGTGCCGAGAGCTGTTTGGTATTTAACTCTAAAGGAGTCTCTGGACTCTGCAGACTGACTGAGCTTCCCTGGTGTGAGGTAAGCTGTCAGCACTTGTGTACACACAGGATCAGTAAGGCCTCAGTAACACAAACACACACATAAATACACACAACACACACTGTGCACTGACACACCGTACACAGACACACGGTGCACACACTATGCACAGACACACCGTGCACACACACACACCACCCACACACACACACACACACACACTCTCTCTCTCTTACCTGTGGTCATAATTATAATAATCCTGGGTGTAATAGTCCTGGCCCGGGTCGATGCCAGACTCCATGGAGAGCTCCTGTTGTGGGTAAAACAGAGTCATTACTCAAAGACAATGAAGTTGAAGGAAAACATGAGAAGGCCATCAAACAGGCCTCTGTGCTCTATTACAGGAGAACATTTCACTACTTCACAGAGCAAAGGAAGAAAGAGAGTGTGTTCTGTACCTCTGGTCTCAGAAGAGAGGGCCTGAGCAACTGTTGTTGCTGCCAGAGTGAGAAAGGACAGAGGAGGAGGAAAAGACAGAAACGAGACGGAGATAGAAAAATAAGGTTTCATTAAAGAGATTGTGGATCAATGTAAATATGGATGGGGAAGGGGTAGCAAGCAAGGTCAGGGGGAGTTTGATGGGAAATAGAGATAAAAAAACAGCCTGTGTCAGTGAAGTATAATAAGAGAATTTCATTCCAAAACCCAAGGTATATAATACCAAGGGATGACAGCTTCCGCCATGAGCAGAACCTTTCCAATATCTGTTCATCACATCGCCTCCCCAAATATAAGGCGGGCGGCACATTGGAAGTTTTATTTCCCAATTCCATTTTCGTAATTCTATCAAGGCTGTGTCTATAGATAACATTATGTTAAATAAACTGACAAGTAGGACCACCATTCAAAGGCAGCAATGTCAATTTTAGGCGAATGGAAACGCCAACGTACCTCATGATGTCCGTACCCACGCCTGTAGGGGAAGAAACATTGTGGAGATCAGTAAACAAGATTGTCAAGATAAAGATTTCTTGAACTTTCAGATATGAACATTGTTTTACTTACTGTAGCTGAATTTGGCTGCTTAAATCAAAAGCCGAGAGTGGTCTCCCATTTTTCAGTTTCAAGTGTGTAAGAATTGTAAAGCATTTGTTCATATTCTTTGGAAGGCAATAATCTGAAACATTTTTCAGTGCACTTAAATCTATTATACCCCTATCCCTTACCCAGAAAGACAGAAAAAGAGAGAGAGACAGAGAGAGAGGGAGAGAAGGACAGAGAGAGAGAGGGAGAGAAGGACAGAGAGAGAGGGAGAGAAGGACAGAGAGAGAGAGGAGAGAATACTACAGGTGAGAGAAGACAGAGAGAGAGGAGAGCCTCTTCTTTCTCTCCTTCCTCTCTCTTCTTTCTCTCCTTCCCTCTAGAGATTTCTCCTTCCCTCTCGCTCCGTTTCTCCCTTCGACCCCCTCTCTTTTTCCTCTTCCCTCTCTCTCTCCTTTCTACTCCTTCCTCTCTTCTCCTTTTCAGAATGACCCTCTCTCTATCGTTCTCTCCTTCCCTATCTCTTCTTCCTGATCTACTAATTATCCCCTTCCCTTATCTTACTTTCTCCAATAGATGACTTAGAGAACTGAAAGCCAACAGATATTTCAAGACTTTCATAACTTTTAAAATGACATTTTCTAGTATGATATATAGCCAGGGTCGGATTATTTTTTTAGTAGGGAGTGCTGCTGTTCAGAAAAAATTGGGAGTTGTTGAGAAAAACTGTTTCTATTGGTTCTACAGACAGATTTGTCTTCTCTATTCTAGAGTAGGCATTTGGTTTCCAAACTGTATGTTTTTCCCTGCAATTGTATTTAGACAATTTGCGAAAGGCAAACCGACAGCCGCAACCAACCATATAAATATAATCCATAGATGACAGTTCCCATTTAATTCAGGACTGGCAGCCATTGCTAGTGTACCCATACGTTTAACAGTCAAATTGCCAGGGTAAGAGGTTCCAAAACCCTTCTATGGATTACATGTCTATGGCCACAACGCAACAAGCTGTGTATTTCGCGTGCATGCTGCCCAAATTGCAGCCTTCCGAACTGTAGGCGTGCCTTGACTTTTTCCACATTTTGTTACGTTGCAGCCTTATTCTAATTATTATATATATTTTTTTAATTCTCAGCAATCTACACACAATACCCCATAATGACAAAGTGAAAAAAGTTTTTTTTTTTTTTTTTTGGGCCAATTTATTACAAATAAAAACAGAAATACCTTATTTACATACAGTAACAGTCAAAAGTTTGGACACGCCTACTCATTCCTGGGGTTTTCTAAATGTTTACTATTTTCTACACTGTAGAATAATAGTGAAGACATCAAAACTCTGAAATAACACATATGGAATCATGTAGTAACCAAAAAAGCGTTAAACAAATCAAAATATATTTCATATTGTCACGACTTCGCCGAAGCTGCCTCCTCTCCTTGTTCGGGCAGGCTTCGGCGTTCGTCGTCACCGGCCTTCTAGCCACTGCCGCTCCTCTTTTCATCATTCCATTTGTTTTGTCTTGTTCTCACACACACCTGGTTCATATCCCCTCATCGGTGTCTGTATAAGTATTCCCTCTGTTCCCCATGTCTTTGTGTGTTATTGTTTCCATGTGGAGGTGTCGATAGCTCGGTGGAGCATATTGTACTTTATCGCCAGGATATTCACCCGTGTGTTTTGTTTTCCCCAGTGCGCCGTTAAGTCGCACTGTAGTTGTTTTACGCATTGCTGCGAACCGCTGTATTGGCCGAATAAACCATTATTCTGTGATTTACACCTCCTGCGCCTGACTCCGTCCAAATCACCCGCTACAGAATCACACACCCAACAGCATGGAGTCAGCAGGAGCGGGGAATATGCCTGGAGTCTTTGAGCGGGTCCGGGAGCATTCCAACATGTTAGCCAGCTTGGGCGAAGCGATGGATCGGGTTCTCCAGGCCGTCCAGCGCCTGGAGAGGAGAGGACCCGACACTGCGGAACCAGCTGAGCGACCGGATCCAGCCACCCACACACCAGCACCAAGAGGTATTCACCTGTCTCGACCAAGGGAATACGACGGGACAGCGGCCCGCTGCCAGGGTTTCCTCCTGCAGCTGGACCTCTATTTCAACACCATCAGCCCTGCCCATCGGATCAGGAGAAGGTGTCTGCCCTCGTCTCCTGTCTCTCGGGGAAAGCCCTGGAGTGGGCCAACACAGTCTGGAGTGAAGGAGGAGACGCATTGGACAACTACGGAGAGTTTGCTCACCTCTTCCGGGCAGTCTTCGATCATCCCCCGAAGGAAGAGAGACGGGTGAGCGTCTGGTTCATCTGAGGCAGGGGACGAGGACTGCGCAAGACCTTGCCCTGGAGTTTAGAACTCTAGCGGCTGAGTCCGGGTGGAACGAGCGGGCCCTCATCAACCACTTCCGATGCAGCCTGCGAGAGGACGTCCGAAGGGAGCTAGCCTGCCGGGATACCACGTTGACCTTCACCCAACTGGTGGACAAGGCCATCCGGTTGGCTTCGAGAGGACGTCCTGGAAGGGGCCTGCCCGTTTCACCCCCCTTCAACCCGGATCACGTTCCGATGGAGTTGGGTGATGCAGCGTTCTGGGAGTACGGAGGACAACAGATCCAGTGTCACTCTTGTGGCAAGAGAGGACATTCTGCTGCACGATGTCGTCAGAGTTCTTCTGGTTCTGCACTGTGGCGCCGGTGGTATGGGCGGTGGACGCGGACACAGAGCGGGCATTACGCAAAGAGCTATCTCCACCTCAGTGCCCCGCTGGGCTTCGGTACGTGCCGTCTAGTGTCCATGATCGTCTTATCTATTGGGCACACACGTCCCCCTCCTCTGGTCACCCAGGCATCGGCCATACAGTGCGCTGCCTGACCGGGAAGTACTGGTGGCCTACCTTGGCTAAGGACATGAGGGAGTATGTCTCCTCCTTCTCGGTGTGCGCCCAGAGTAAGGCCCCTTCCAGCGGGTAAGTTACATCCCTTACCAGTTCCACAACGGCCATGGTCCCACTTATCCATTGATTTCCTAACTGATCTTCCCCTCTCTCAGGGTAACACCACCATCCTGGTCGTTGTGAACCGCTTCTCTAAAGCCTGCCACCTCCTTCCTCTGCCCGGTCTCCCCACGGCCCTGCAAACTGCGGAAGCCCTGTTTACTCATGTCTTCTGGCACTACGGGGTGCCAGAGGACATAGTGTCTGACCAGGGTCCCAAGTTTACGTCCAGCGTCTGGAAGGCGTTCATGGAACGTCTAGGGGTCTCGATCAGCCTGACCTCTGGGTTCCACCCCAAATCGAATGGGCAGGTGGAACGGGTGAATCAGGATGTGGGTAGGCTCCTGCGGTCCTACTGCCAGGACCGGCTGGGGGAGTGGTCGGTGTTCTTGCCATGGGCCGAATATGCACAGAACTCTCTCCGCCACTCCTCCACTAACCTGTCACCATTTAAATGTGTTTTAGGGTATCAGCCGGTCCTGGCACCATGGCATCAGAGCCAGACCGAAACTCCTGTGGTGGACGACTGGTTTCGGCGTTTGAAGGAGACGTGGAACACTGCCCACGTCCACCTCCAGCGCTCCGTGCGTCGCGAGAAGGCCAATGCTGACCGCCACCACAGTGAGCCCAAACCAGATGGGATGGCGTATAGCTGCAGAATGCTGTGGTAGGCATGCTGGTTGAGTGTGCCTTGAATTCTAAATAAATCACAGACAGTGTCACCAGCAAAGCACCCCAAACCATCACACCTCCTCCTCCATGCTTCACAGTGGGAACTACACATGCGGAGATCATCCGTTCACCTACTCTGCGTCTCAAGAAGACACGGCGGTTGGAACCAAAAATCTAACATTTGTACTCATCAGACCAAAGGACAGATTTCCACCGGTCTAATGTCCATTGCTCGTGTTTCTTGGCCCAAGCAAGTCTCTTCTTAATATTAGTGTCCTTTAGTAGTGGTCTCTTTGCAGCAATTCGACCATGAAGGCCTGATTCACACAGTCTCCTCTGAACAGTTGATGTTGAGATGTGTCTGTTACTTGAACTCTGTGAAGCATTTATTTGGGCTGCAATTTCTGAGGCTGCTAACTCTAATGAACTTATCCTCTGCAGCAGAGGTAACTCTGGATCTTCCTTTCCTTTGGCTGTCCTCATGAGAGCAAGCTTCTTCATAGCGCTTGATGGTTTTTGTGACTGCACTTGAAGAAACTTTCAAAGTTCTTGAAATGTTGCGTATTGACTGACCTTCATGTCTTAAAGTAATGATGGACTGTCGTTTCTCTTTGCTTATTTGAGCTGTTCTTGCCATAATATGGACTTGGTATCTTCTGTATACCAACCCTACCTTGTCACAACACAACTGATTGGCTCAAACGCAATAAGAAAGAAAGAGATTCCACAAATTCACTTTTAAGAAGGCACACCTGTTAATTGAAATGCATTCCAGGTGACTACCTCATGAAGCTGGTTGAGAGAATGCCAAGAGTGTGCAAAGCTGTCATCAAGGCAAAGGGTGGATACTTTGAAGAATCTCAAATATAAAATATATTTTGATTTGTTTAACACTGTTTTGGTTACTACATGATTCCATATGTGTTATTTTATAGTTTTGATGTCTTCACTATTATTCTACAATGTAGAAAATAGTAAAAATATTTTGACTGGTACTGTAAGTATTCAGACCCTTTGCTATGAGACTCGAAATTGAGCTCAGGTGCATCCTGTTTCCATTGATCATCCTTGAGATGTTTCTACAACTTGATTGGAGTCTGATTTACCTGTGGTAAATTCAATTGATTGGACATGATTTGGAAAGGCACACACCTGTCTATATGAGGTCCCACAGTTGACAGTGCATGTCAGAGCAAAAACCAAGCACTGAGGTCGAAGGAATTGTCCGTAGTGCTCAGAGACAGGATTGTGTCACAGA